GCTCAGAATTTTGAGCATAGGGATACTGCAAGGGTTGTACATGTATTATACATCACTTTTTACAGTGTTGCTCTAACTTTGAACTGCCACTGAACAAACTATTATAAGTCAAGGACTATCTCTATCTTCTGACAGGATTGGATGATGAGCCATCACTAATGCTGCCCATTTTTTTCTCTATTCATTTTCTCTCACCTATCTTAAAATGGAAACATTAAAGCAGAGATTGTAAATTATTTTTAAAAAAAGTTTTCCTTGAGTCACAGATCTGATATTAAGATGTCTCAAATAGGAAAAAATAGCAAGGGAAGGAAAGTGTCATTAATGTTTACATGATCTTATTTAATAATAATGTATCTATCTCAAATTCATAGAGACTAGAATAATGTGGTTCATTTAAACCATTAATGGGTGATAGAATGCAAAAATGATTAGGAAATCAGCAAGGCCCCAGGGATCTAAGGAAATGAAATATGCTAAAAAAATATTGATAGTGAACTTAACCCAATTTTATTTTTAAAGATTCATATGATTATAATAAAATGTGAAACTGTCCAAGTGGAAATACTGTAAATATCCATATCTTTAATATCTATTAGCATTTTCTAAGTTATCACTTGGACCACAGTGAGAAAACAATGGAACTAGTGGAAAAGGCAAGTAATTGTTACCAATTAACAGAAACTTTTTGATTAATCACATCTCCTGATTTTCAGTTTTTTAAGGAGATCTCCCCTCATTTTCATATTTTAAAAATCAGATCAAATACAAAAGGTCCCAAAACCAAAACAGAAGTTCTGAATTCTGAAAAAAAATCACAGATTCCTGTGCCTCATTATATTCTCTCTGCAATTCAGATGTGGTCTCATTAGAATAATGTAGCATTTAGGGGAAAAAAATACAGGCCAGGAGACTGGCTCCAGAAGACAAAATGGAGAGGATCTCTACAGCCACCATGGACTTCCCTTTGGTGCTTAGGTAGGCAGGAAGAAAGGTGATCCAAACACAGGAAAATACCAGCATTTTGGCTTCATTAAAACTGTCAGGCAATTTCCTAGCTAGAAAGGCTACCATGAAACTGATCAGGGCAAGGACACCCAGATAGGCAAGGACAGTGTAAAACATGAAAGCTGAGCCTTCATCACATTCCAAGATGGCCTCTCCTACCAAGGAGTTGAAGTCCAAGTTGGGAAACAGGGCAGAGGTAGTCAGCCAGATGGCACAAAGGACTGCTTGGATCAGGGGACAGGCAATGACGATGACAATGATCAAAGACAAGAACTGCACTAGGACATTTGAATAGTAGGGGAAGAGTTTTTGAAAGGAATCCCTGAATCCTGAACACAGTAATGCATCTTTCCCTGCCAGGTGAAACTTACAAAATATAAGAACTAAGATAGAGCGGATCCTCCTGAAAATCAAGGACTCTGGAAGACATAAGAGTTCCCAAGGGTAAATTCCCACCAATAATGAGATCACCAGGTCTGTAATACTTCTGTCTTGCTTTAGGCTCGAACAATTTCCTCAACACACATACACTTTGCCTCCTCTTAGCAGTAGTTGGAGGAAAGAGGCAGAAGAGCAGAAGCAGGAGAGGCAGCCCAGTCATTCTTGTCCTTCCTATATCAGAAATCAAGATTTGTGCAGAAGTGTAATTGCAGGCATGAGCAAAGAGAAAAATGAGAACAGACGAGTCTCAACGAAGCCAAGAATGATTCATTTCAAGACAAGCCAAGGGAATTTGACAGATCCTGCCCCAGTGGAGGAACTTGGAACATATTTTCAAAGCAGGAATAATTTGGGGGGCAGAAATCCAGAGGGATACATTTAGAATTTATCTTCTGATAATTGCAAAGGAAATGAATTCTCCTATCCACTTAGCAATAGGTGTGTTTTTTCTCACCAAGATGAGAAAAACAAGTTTGTGTCTCTTGTTGTTAATCCCTAGTGGCGATAGACTTGAGAGTAAAGGAGAAGTTGGGTATTTGACCTAAATGAAACTGAACCCCAGGAAACAAGAGGGAGTTTGGCCTGAGTCACAGTTTTGGGGATAGAATTGAGTGCTAGTGGGGCATAGTGGCTCAGGACAATCAGTTGAATTCTAGTAAGTTTGAACAATCATTCCAAATTTTATACCAAATGAGTGGTTTACTTATACTTGTTATGAGTGAGATTAGAAATTAATTTCTCTCATAGAACTTAAAAATAGGTAGGAAAATTTGGGGAAAACTCATCAACTCCCTCTAAGCATGACTTTCTTGGGCTTTCTAAAGCCACATTTGCTTTTTCATCAAAGTTTATTCCTGACCTAATATTATCCTCAATGTTTCTACCTATGTTTGCACATCTCCTAATTCTTCCAGTCATTTTTCAATCTTTATCCGTCTGTCATGACACACAAATTCCTACACCTTGTCATGACTCTGAGAGAGAGGAGGAACAGCTGAGAGGGAGTGGTAGTGTGACTCTGGAAGTTGTGGAGGAGGCAGGGGGAGGGCTGAGGCAAGCTGAGCAGTCAGAGGAAGACCCAGGCACATCCCCTATCCATCCTAGGGCATGCAACAAGGAGAGGATAAGGGAGAGACATGGTCTCCTTGGATGGAGAGGGCCTTGATCCTCTTCATGGGCTGCAGGTGTGACAACTGAATAAGAGTGTGGACCTGTGTACTGGCAAACGCTAGAAACAAAGCATGTAAATATCTCTAGTTTACAGTTCCTCTCTGAGTTTGACATCCTTCCCAGTGTGTGTTATCTGTAAATATCAAGCAGCCCTTATCTTGCCTGGTTTGTGTTGCTTTTTTCCTTCTCCGTGTAACTGTTTGTGTGGGAGTTTTTTTGTCTTCCATCAAAGATATTCAGAGCTTGGAAGCAAAATGAAGGAATAAAAGCGGCTTCACCTCTTTTCTGTGACTGTGTTTGTTTTGTGTCCCACCCTCGGCCAACACACACCTACTCTTAGACTGTATTTTTGTAGGCAGACATTGGGAATAGATTTGGTCATTCAATTTTGGTCTGCATTCTGTTTTTGTAAAAAAGAGGTTGAGACTCTAGAAAGAGTGCAGAGAAGAGCAACAAAGACGTTTAAGGGACTGGAGGCTGAACCATATGAGGAATGGTTGCAGGAGCCAGGACTCATTTAATGAAAAGAAGAACTATGGGAGACATGATAGCAGTGTTCCAGGGTCTCAGGGGCTGCCACAAAGAAGAGGGAGTCAAGCTACCCTCCAAAGCACCTGATGGCAGGACAAGGAGTAATGGGTGGAAATTCATCAAGGAGAGAAGCAACTTCGAACTAAGGAGAAATTTCCTGACAGTTAGACGAATTAATCAGTGGAAGAACTTGTCTCCAGAGGTTGTGAATGCTCCAACACTGGAAGTTCTTATAAAGATGTAGGATTACCATTTGTCTGAAGTGCTGTAGGGTTTCCTGTTTAAGCAGGGGGTTGGACTAGAAGGCCTCAAGGTCTCTTCCAACTCTGTTATTCTACTCTGGATGTTCTTCAGGTCTTCAACAAGGGCTTCTTATAAATTGGTCATTCCATTTGTGGGGTGCATTGTGCTCTCTGAGCTGGGTTATTTTCTTGCAGACCTCTCATTACCCAAACTATGCACACATAATCAGTGCTAGCTCATCAGCCCTAGCACTAATGATCTTACCTAGCTTGGATAACGACATTTTCTGCATGAAATCAACCAAACACAGGGAGCACTAAGGACCCCTCATTTCAACCCAGATCTACAAATATTCTCCTTTATTGGACACTCCATTTTTTTGCCAAAAATGATTATCTTGATGTTTGATGTATTGGCTTTCAAATACATAAAAAATGTCTGCATGTATCCGATCTATGGAAAATTGCAAGAAATGATTTGGGTCCTTAGATAACATACAGTCATCTTTATATAGAAGTACACAGACATTTGCCTTCCCATATAGCAAGTGTCTAAGCATTTCTGCAATTTATCTATTATCAGGATTCTGGCAATTAAATCATGAGCCACAGTCCCAAAATGAAAAAGGATTTATTAGAAGTTAACATTCTGGCATTAGCCTGGGTGTAGCCAACTCTGAGATATGTAATTCACTGTCACCATTGATCCTGCTTTCCCCCAAACCCCTCTGGGTGTATTATCAAATGAAACATGTCCATAGCCAAGAGTCATCAATCATGCTCTCCAATTAGATTTTTGCACAGCAGAAGCTTTAGTCATCTAATCAGTCTCTGAAGAAAATATGGATGGAATGTACTTTCAATTCCACACTGCTGCCTGCTCTTACAAACCCCTGCTTCTTTCTGTTGACAACTATAAAATGTGTATCCAAAATGTTTTATGACTTGACATCTGTAAGCTCTTAAAAAAACAAGACAACAACCAATAATTGTCTGTTCCTCCCTATTTTATAGTGAACAATTCATGATTTATTCCATTTATTCTCACACATTCACCCTCCCTTTCTTCTATCCATCCCTCTGTCCATCCGTCTTCATCATATTGGGAATGGATAAAAATTATTAACAATACAGAAGAATTAGAATATATCCATTGATATCGATTTAACATGGTCTTCTCTTTTAATAAACTATGTTTCTCTAGTATGTCAATAGAGAGTAAGACACTGCGGCTCATTTAAAGTTACTATACACTAATAGTTAATTAAATGAAAACGTTAATAGGGAACTCAGCACAATATCAGGAATCTGTGCAAACAATCAAGCTTAAAAACACTAACAATACAGACAACTTAAGAATGTTTTAAAAACTCCTATGATTAAAATAAATAAAGTGAGAAACAATCATGCTGGAAACTAATATCCACATCTTTAATATAATTTTTTTTTTTCTAAACTGATCATGGGGCTCATCTGCGAACAATTCGTACTTTAGTAAACTGAAAGGCATGGTAGTTGTTCCTGATTAATACATACATTATCATCAAAAATAACATCAAATATAAAAATGTCCCAAAGTCAGAATCAAGTTCTCCGTCCCCATATGAATCAGAGATTTCTGTGCCTCATTATATTCTCTTTACAATTCAGTTCAGGCCTGACTAGGATAATGTAGCATTTGGGGGGAAAGATGCAAGCCAAGAGGCCAGCCCCAGAGGCCAAGATGGAGAAGATCTCCACAGCCACCATGGACTTCCCTTTGGTGCTCAGATAGGTGGGGAGGAAGGTAATCCAAACACTGCAAAAGACCAGCATACTAAAAGTAATGAACTTGGCTTCATTAAAGCTATCAGGCAATTTCCTAGCCAGAAAGGCCACGATAAAACTGATGAGGGCCAGAAAACCCAGATAAGCCAGGACTGTGTAAAACATGGAAGCTGAGCCTTCCTGACATTCCAAGATGATCTCTGCTTCCAAGGAGTGGAAGTCCATGTTGGGAAATGGGGGAGAGGTGATCAGCCAGATGGCACAAAGAATTACTTGGATCAGAGGACAGGCTATGACAATGGAATTGGTCAGAGGTTTTCCTAAGAGGTTCTTTGTCCTATTCCCTGGCTTTGTAGCCATAAAGGCCAGAACCACCATGACAGTTTTTGCCAACACAGAGGAAACTGCAAAGGAGAAGAGAATGGCAAAGGCAGCTTGTCGGAAGAGACAAGTGAACTTCCCAGGTTGACCAATGAAGAGAAAGGAGCAGAGGAAGCAGAGCAGGAGGGAGACCAGGAGGATGTATGTGAGATTTCGGTTGTTGGCCTTGACAATCGGTGTGTCATGATGTTTACAGAAAATCACCAGGACAGCAGTTGTGATCAGAGAAAGGAAAAGAGACAGAGAAACTAAGGCATATCCCAGGGTCTCTCTATAGGCAAGGAAGTGGATCTTCTTGGCAATGCAGTGGTCCTTCTGCTTGTTGGGATATTGGTCTTCAGGGCAGGGCTCACAGTGGGCTGCATCTGAAATAAATATTTAAGAATTTTTGTATAAGTATTTCAGCTTCATCTGCCATGACCATTATCCCTTTTCAAGGATTGATATGACTGTCCCCTTTTTGTTCTGGCCAACCTACAACTGCTATTGATAGTGATATAGCCCAGTTGATGGTGCATCAAGGAGGGGAAATCATCCTTCATTCAGGACGATTCTGGGGAAAGGCAAGCCTGAAAATTGGATCTGTTCAGTTCCAACAGCCCTGGTCAGTTTTTGTGAGAAAGAAAAGGTCATCTCCAATCACTGCTAAGTTGTCACTGCTGTGGCTTTCAGTGTGAGAGAGATTGGAAACTGTCCCTTTTCCACTTTAAACTGGAACCCTCAGAAGATGGATGAGTCTATCAGCCAGGAATCCTAAATTTTATACGTGAAGGTTGTTTGTTGGCTTTCCTCTGGCTCTGAGGAGAGTACTAGGCTGACATAGGGATGAAATGCATTATCAGTCCAGAGTCCCTTCACACCAAGTGGTTGGGTTCAAAAAAAATTACTACTGGTTCTGTGGGCATGGCTTGGTGCACGTGACAGGGGAAGGTTACTGCAAAGTCCCATTCCCTCCCCACACCAGTAACCTGCTTTCCAGCTCCGTCCCCCTGTGCAGGACTACAAAAGAAGACACAGCTGATCACCTGGGAGTCAGGAGGCGGAGAATAGATGTGGGCAGGGCCAGTCAGAGGTAGTATTTGCTGGTTCTCTGAACTACTCAACATTTCTGCTGCCAGAACTGGTCAGAACCTGCTGAATACCACCTTAGCTTCCCACCTGGAAGAGATCTAAATGTAGCCCACCTTGAATTCCATTGACTCTTATCCACCCCCAATTCACTTTGACCGTTTGTAGTTCAGATTCTTGAATGGACCTTAAGATTGCAATAAATCTTTATATTCATTAGAAGTGCCTGAATTTCCTGATTTCTTCATATTTGACATGCTCAGCGTCTCTGCTTTGTACTCCAGATCTTCCCATTCAGCCATTATTTTTTCAGGGAAAAGTTATTATTTATTAAGGGTTATTATTAATTATTACACATTATATGCCTCTGCTCTCACTTATAAGGTGACTCTTGGCTGCTAGAAATTATAGATCGATGGATCTCCTTGTTCTCTAACAGGTGTATCAGTTCTGTTGGAGACAGAAGATACTGACAGAAGAACCCCTAAAGATTGAGTGATAAAGCCTGGCTCCCATAAGCCACTCTTTCAGAGAATTGGCAGAGGGTTTTCCTGTTGGGATGTGACAATTGGTAAGGCTAGTAGGGCACCCATCCACTGTACCCTAAAACTATCCTGCATAAAATTATTGGGGCAGCCAAGAAAAATGTCCTGTTGTGGCAGGACAGCTCAGATCCATAAATTGGAAGTTTCTGCTGAAAAGTATGAATGATCTGATGTAGTATAAACAAATATGACAAATTTGCATCTTTATCTACTCAATGACTTCCTAGATCCTGGAAGATCTGCATTTGAAAAGTGCTCCACCTGTCTGATTTGAGATAGTTCCTTCTGGACAAGGAGCACATTGATAGCAGCAAACTGGTTCGCCCTCTGGAACTCTTCTCCTCTCTCCTGCCTGACACCTCTTCTTCCCACACCTGGCAAAGGGCACCTTCTAAAAGAAAAAGAGAGAAATGCTTGAGGTGTCTTGTGCAATAACGCAATTCATTTATTCATTTCCACATTCTTATTTTCCTGCTTGGAATGTTTTCATAGGAAATTGTTCACAAAGACCTAATAGAAAAAGAAGGGAAAGGAAAAGCTCCTGGGGGAATCAGTGGCACTAGTGAATCTCCAAAGGAGGCTAAAGTTTGGATCTTGAACTTCAGAGTTGCTACATTGAGCTACTACTTCTCTCAAAGAAAGAATGATGACAACCCAACTGAACAAGAATGGTCCATGGAAATCACAGCCTGATCTAACAGCATCCTGGTTTCAAGCAGAATTCCCACCCATTGTTGGATTTTCACAGATTAGTCATAAAATTTGTTAACCACCAATGTTTTCACCTTAGACAGATGTTCAGCATCCCTAAGAGAGACAAGGATTCTTTTACTGACTTTACAACCTTTCCTTCCTGCTCACCTTTGGAGCCCAGGTGATCGCATCAGAGTTAATGTTGAAATCCTGGCCTGCGGCAGCCCTGGGATCCTTTTGACCAACTTTCACAGACACTAAAGACTTATTGGGGTGGACAACCCAGTTGACAATATCATATCGAGCAGTTCGCAGTCCATTTTGTGAGAAGGAGACTTCATCTCCAGCACTATTGTTGAAGTGGATAGTCCTCAAATTGGCAAGTATCTGAAAGAAAAGAGGCCTTCAGAAATTGGAACAATTAGCAGAAAGACAGATATGAGACATCATGGCTTCTGTCAATGGTGATGGCCATCATCTTAGGAAACTAGGACTTCCGGTGGCAGGACAGGGCGAACGGAGGTGAAGAAGACTGTTGTGGTCTTTGAACACCTTTTCTGGCACCAGGAGTAATCCCCCAGGGATACATGAACCCCGGAGAGGTTCATGTTAACGTGGAGAACCTCGAGCGAAGAGGCAACCCCCCGACAGTGAAGAGGGAAGCTCCTGAGCCTGGCGAAGAAGAGTAAGCTGTCATTCTATGGTGGCTTCAAGTCCGGTCTGCCACTTGGGTGAATAAGCAAAGCAGTGACAGCCTGTGAGGTCAAGAATAACAGGAAAAGAGAAACGGTTTATAACTTGGAACCTTTGAAGACTGAAGATAGAAGAATGACAGAAGAATGACAGCGGCGTAAAATCTTTTCTCCTGGTTGTGATTAGCACCTTTCAGAAGTCGGGTGGAAAAGCGGCCAGAAAAGTGGCTGGGAAAATGAAAGGACTATAATGGAGTGTGGAAAAGCCCAAGCACAAAAGTGAAAGTGCAGATTTTACCCTGTGAAAAGGAAGCTCTGGGGAAGGAGGAAGATTGTCAAAACCAGGAGATCAGAGGTCTGGAATTTGTGAGGGGCTTCATCTGACTTTCGGACCTTTCTTTTTGACTTTACTTGAGAAAAGGGAGGTGACGGAGGTGTAAGAATACTGGCATTGATCGAGTCTGATGAACCTTCAGATCTGAGTACAACATGACTATCACATCTACTTAATATTGTGGAGAAGACAAACTGAGCATTATATTGGACTTTGGAAGATTTGTATGTTGATTTAAAAATTGGAAAGCAAAGAAAGAAGAAGCAAGAGGAAGAAGGCAGAGACAAACAGAAGGCTGGGAAAGAGGGTTTTGGGACTGCAGATTAGTCAGCACATTACACCATTTGCTGATTGGAATGCTGAAAAGAATCCTCTAGTTGGAAGATGGACTATTAGCTCACCCAACTTGCTTCCTTTATTATGTGGTACTACTTAATATTACTAGTTTGGCGCTACTTTCTCCTTAAGATGACTTCCTTGCTTTTTGTTTGTTGATTTTCTGAAGCTGTGGTAATCTCTCTCCTACCCTTTCTCTTATTATTTTGCCCCCACCTCCCTATTGTATCTCCTAAATAGCTTACATAATTTTACTTATTTGGGAAAAAAAAAGAGGGGGGTATACTATTTTTATAGAGTTAAGAGATTACTGTTGTAAGTATTAATAGCAAAGAGGGATAAACTCTGTTGATATAAACTATTTATAAATTATTTAGACTACTTAAGACATTTAAGATTAATTCCTTAAAGTGTTAATTGATGTACTATTGCTGATCAATTTTCTTATTACATAGACTAGAATACTGTAGTAGATATCTATTTATAATATAGGGGAAAAGACTGTGGAGCGAGATATTAAATTGAAATACGAGAATAGACTTTTAAATACAAGACCCAAACACTGAATGGTGATTTGGGATAATATATCTAAAATTGTGCATCAACAGAAACAAATACTTAGAGAGATGACACCCACGACAACTATGGCCTTAAAAACAGGAAGGAAGTCTACTCCGACTCTATCACCCCACCAACAACTCAAAAAACTATTGAGGAGTCCTTAACAGGGGAAAAGCAGCCTAATGTCCTCAACATTAATATACAAACTTCCTTATTATCCTTGCAGGAAGCTATATCTAAAATGCAAGAAATGATGATTAAAAATCACAATGAAACTAGAGCAGATATAAGTGAATTGAAAGATGAGATGGGGAAACTGAAGGCTGAAATGAAAGCGGATATATCGAAGGTGGAGGGTAAGATAGGGTCTCTGCAGCAGGCCATGAAGAAAAATGAAGTGAAAATAAAAGATATAGAGAGTAGAACAACACGCATGGAGACTAACTTTGAAAGGATGGATGAGGAATTTAAAAATGTACTTTGAGAAATGGAAGACTCACTGGTTCATCTCGAGATGGACAAAGCAATGGTGTATTTAAGGTTCCAGAATGTGGCTGAAGCAAAAAATGAAGAATTGGAACATTTGATGGCAGAAATATTGGATGAATGGTTAGGAAAGGAAAAAGATGATCTAATTAAAGAGTTTGATGAGGTATATAGGGTTAGCACAAGCTATGCCAGATGCAACAACTGCCCAAGAGAAATCCATATCCGCTTTTCTAGGAGATGTCTAAGAGATTTAATTTTGAAAATGTCTACGGAGGAAATGATATCATACAAAGGCAGAGAAATTACGATTTTAAAACAAATTCCAAAGAAAGTGAGGACGATAAGACAAGATTATAAATTTCTAGCTAATGATTTAAATAAAAAAGGAATCCAATTTAAATGGCTAATCCAGGAAGGGATGTTAATTATGTGGAAAGAGAGGAAAATCAAAATAGAATCGATAGAACAGGCCCAAGACTTTTATCAACAGCTCACAGATACGGATGGTCAATCCACTAAAGAAGAACCTAAAAGGAGACCACAGGAGGACCGATATCATCACAGAACCCAAAAGGAATGACTTTCCCCAACTTCAGGAAGTGATAAACCACAACCTGGGAGAGAAGAGCAAATCCCACAACAACAACAACAACAAGAGAATCGAATCATTACTAGGCAAAAATCTAAGCAGATGTAGATAAATGGTGGAGGGGAAGAAGTTGCTCTCCATCAATATAAATGGATTAAATTCAATATCAAAAAGAAAAAGGATATTTTCAAAACTTATTCGACATAACGCAGATATAATATGTCTTCAAGAAACACATATTTCGAAAAATGATGAAAGACATCTAATTTGTCCAAAATTAGGGAAACTTTTTACTGCTCTGGCTGATAAACACAAGAAAAAAGGAATTGGAATTTACGTAAAACAAGATGTAAAGGCAGAATTAACCTGGTCGGATCCCGAAGGAAGAACTCTGGTTATACAAGTTTGGATAAACCACATCACATTTTTACTTGTAGCAATCTATGCCCCAAATGAAGACAAAGGGAAATTTTTCAAACACCTCCACCAAAAAATAGTAGGCTTTGAAAAAAACGAACATTTGCTTGATTGGCGATTTTAACTCCATTGCACAATACCAAAAAGACCATAGTAATATGGGAAAAAACAAGAAGGGGAAAAGGGAATTTTCTATGGCATGTAAGGAAATGATGAAAGAATTAAACTTAAAAGATTTATGGAGGGAACGGAACCTGGAAGAGAAACAATTTACATACTATTCCAATCCACATAAGATTTGGACTAGAACAGATATGGCTTGGATGGATTTGGATTTGGCTAATGAAATAAAAGAAATTAAAATCCTACCAAATGAATGGGCTGACCACAACCCAATACAGCTAATTTGGAGAGACAGGAGAGGAATAAAAAAAAGATGGACGTTAAATACCCAAATAGTAAATGAAGAAGAGTATATCAATAAGCTGAAAGAGGAGCTAAACTATTTCCTAAAAGATAATAATAATGAAACAACTTCAAAACAGAATATTTGGGATACTATGAAAGCAATTATAAGAGGTACAACAATTTCCTATAATGCTATGAGAAATAAGAGAATTTATGCCTGACAAAACATATTACAACAACAAATCAAAGACTTAGAAATACAATTACAAAAAAACCCCAAGATCCAAGGAATACAAAACCAGTTAATATTAGCCAAACATAAGCTGAATTTAATTGAACAAGATAAAATAGAAGTTAGTTTGAGAAGGTCCAAACAAAATTATTTTGAACCCGCTAATAAACCAGGAAGATGGCTATCTTATAAACTTAAAAAAGAAAAAGAAAAGAGACTGATACACCAACTAATAGATGAGAAAGGCATACCACAACATGAGATTGAGAAGAAAAAAAGATATCATATTAAACTACTTTCAAAGATTATATAAAAAGGAAGAAATCAATGAAGACAAAATAAGAACTTTTCTGGAGAATACGAATGATAAAACAATAGGGGAAGGAGAGAAAGAATTATTAAATAAGGATATTACATGGTCTGAGTTGAAATCTGCAATGGAGAACCAAAATAATAATAAATCCCCTGGACCAGATGGGATCCCAGTAGAATTGTACAAAGCTATAATAGAGTTAGTAGGGCCACTGATGCTGGAAGTGTTTAATGAAGTACTTTTGGCAGCCAAAATGCCAGACTCATGGAGGGGGGCGTTGATTTCGTTAATTCCGAAGGAGGATGTAGATGCCTGATATATCAACAATTATCAACCAATTTCGCTTTTAAAGGCTGATTATAAATTATTTACCTCAATTATAGCGAATAGAGTAAAACAAGTTTTAAATTTATACATTCACGAAGATCAAAATGGTTTCCTTCTGTCCCGCCAAGTCAAAAATAATCTAAGAACCATTATTGACGTTTTAGAATATTATGAAGTTCATCCAGAGAAACAATTTGCACTCATGTTTTTAGATGCTGAGAAAGCATTTGATAATCTACATTGGCACTTTTTAATTCAAAAAATCTATAACATGAGTCTGGACACTAAATTCGAGAACGTTATCACAACAATTTACAATGCCCAACAGGCCAACATACTAACTAACGGTGAACAAACAGGCCCATTAAACATTGAAAAGGGCGTCAGACAGGGTTGCCCCCTCTCACCCCTCCTATTTATACTTGCTTTAGAATCACTGTTAACGCGGATAAGACAAAACTCTGAAATCTAAGGAGTAAGGGTCAAAGCAGAGGAATATAAACTACAGGCGTTCGCAGACGATATGGTTTTCTTCCTAGAGGAACCCATGGAAAAAGGACATAAACTAATAAAATAACTAGAACAATCCAGTTCAGTAGCAGGATTAAAGATCAATAGAAATAAGACTAAATTAATGACTAAAAATCTAACAGAGAATCAGAGGAAAGAATTAGAAAAAACCATGGGGATACAGGCAACAAAAAAGGTCAAATATTTAGGCATATGGTTAACACCACATAGCAAATCGCTCAAAGAGAATAATTACGATAAACTATTACAGCAAATTAAGAAAGACCTAGAATCCTGGAATAAGTTGCAGCTTTCTCTACTGGGCAGGATTGCCACGATCAAAATGAACATCCTACCAAAATTCCTTTACTTATTCCAGACAATTCCAATTAAATTACCAAAAAAATTTTTTGAAGATATAAATAAAGTGACACTTAAATTTATTTGGCAAGGGAAAAAAGCTAGGATCAATATTAAGGCCTTACAAGATGCAAAAAGTAGAGGGGGGCTAGCGCTCCCAAATTGGGAATTATATTATTGGGCAGCCAACTTATTATGGATAAAAGACTGGGTTAATTTACTCAATAAAAGAACCTTAGCCTTAGAAGGGCACGACCTTCAGAGAGGGTAGCACGCATTTTTATGGGAAGTGGGCAAAACCAGACAGTCATATTTCCATAGACATCTTATCAGAGATTCATTACTAACTAACTGGAAAAAAATATGCAAAAAACACTATTTTAAAATTCCGATTTGGCTTTCAACAATGGAGGCAATGGTACATCCCAACAATTTGGATATAACAAAAACGATTAAATATAAAGATTTATTAGACCCTCTAGGAAAATTAAGAACTCGACAGGATTTACAGGAACAGGGATTTAAAATTGACCAGTGGTTATATATACAAATCCATAGTAGATACAAACAAGATATCAAAGAGTTTGGAATCTATAGCAAATTACAATATTTAGATAAAATCTTATTAGGATCAAATAAAAAGAATATTTCCAAATTTTATAAATATTTATTGGAGGTAGAATTAGAGCAAGAGATAGTGAAAGGGAACATGATAACGTGAAGTAGGAATATTGGAAGAAGCATTACATTAACAGAATGGGAAAAGATCTGGAATAGAAACATCAAGATTATGAAATCGGCGGCGTACAAAGAAAATATGTATAAAATGTTATATAGATGGCACTTACCCCCTTCGAGGTTGGCGAAGATGAACCCTAACATGAGCTCAAGATGTTGGAAATGCAAAAGCACTGAAGGAACATTTTTCCACACGTGGTGGTCTTGTAAAACTACCCAAAAATTTTGACAAAAAATCAGAAAATGGTTGGAGGAGATAACTAAAGAACAAATAGACTATAAAACAGAGTTCTTCCTGTTAGGGATCTCTGATAGATATTTATCCAAAAAGACAAAATAGGTAATAATCTATATTCTAACTGCGGCTAGACTAGCGTTTGCTCAATGTTGGAAATCACCTCATACACCTTCAGAGCAAATGGTTATTCAGAAAATTTGTGAGTGTGCTGAAATGGATAAACTAACTATAGCGTTAAAAAACAGAGTCCTCAACATTTTACGACAACTGGGACTCATGGTATAATTGGCTTACACAGAGACAAATTATGTAAATGATATAGAGTAACTTAAACATAATGGAAAAGAGGAGTAGATTGGATATGACGAAGAGAAATAATCCTTACAGACTGTCACAAAAAGATATCGTTCGCTTTTAATTGTACTTTTTACCCTATTCTCCCTCCCCCTCCCTTCCCCCCTCTCCCTCTATATCTTTTCTCTTCCCCGCAACCGGCCCTTATCTGGTGTGTTAGGCCGGGTGTTTTCTTTCTTTCCCCTCAGCCGTTTTCTTTCTATTTTGTAAATGTACTGTTGATGTGTTTTTAAACTGTAAATTCAATAAAATGTATTTTTTAAAAAAAGAAGTGGACAGTCCTCAATTTGGCAAGTACCTGAAAGAAAAGAGGCCTTCAGAAATTGGAACAATTAGCAGAAAGACAGATATGAGACATCATGGCTTCTGTCAATTGTGATGGCCGTCATCTTAGGAAAACGGTCTATATCTAAAAAGCTACCGTTTGTCTCTTGTTTGAGACGTGAGCAATCAGGAATTACATCAAATATTTGACTCAATTCTCAACAATACAAAAGATTGTCTTTGTCACAGGGTATTTGTGTTTTGGTTTTCAGAACTTCAGTTTTAACTTGATGACAGGGATGACTTGCCTCCAGAAGTTGTGGCTGCTCCATCACTGTAAGTTTTTAAGGAGAGATTGGACAACCTTTGTCTGAAATGGTATAGGCCTTGCTGCCTGAGTAGGAGCTTGTATTAGAAGACCTCCAAGTTCCTGTCCAATTCTGTTATTCTGTTAAGAAACTTAACACTACAAGAAATAGTGAACTAAACATATGGGGTGGAGTCACACATGATGTCACTTCATAGAAACGTAAAAGGGGATGAAAATGAATTGAGCTGGGTATCCTTTTACACTTTGGATTTAGGCTACCTGCTCAGGAAACTGAGCAGGTTCTGCAGATATGCTCCTTAGGACTTCAAGAGTCCTCCTGAAGCATGTTGCATGTTGCACAAATGCACCCAGATTATCATTTTGTTCCAAAATGACACCCTCCTTCTTTGTTACCTCCTGATACTCAGGGACAATTAGTTGAAGACCTTTCAGGACCATATATGAAGATCTTTCTTCTAAGAATATTATGTACAACTGGTTTAGGTTTCTTTTCTTTTGCCCCATCTTTCAACAAAACATTATATTTAATTCATATTATTGATTTTGAAGCAATTGCTGTTTTAATCTTTTGAGAGATGCCATGATATGATATCCCTTGATATGATATGAAGAAATGCATATGAGGAGGTTCCTCTCTATCAATGTGTGGACTGGATAAAATACTACAGAGGTTACCTGCCATGGCTCCACATTTGAGATCCTCCTTCCACGCTTCACCCTCTCTGGTTGCACTCCTGATCCATAAAGGGCATGCAATGCATGTGCCACAGCATAAATGGCATTGTAGATATTGTAACTTTCACCATCCATGGTCATTTCAAAAATAAAATCTGGAAGATCCTGTAATTTCTCCTTTCCTGTACAATGTGGTGCCCATTTTGGAGGGACCTTGCCTGGTTTGGGAATACTGCAGTCAAAGAGTATTTCCCACCAAATCAGGAGAAAGATGTCCCCTTCTTTAATCAACTGTTCTAAAGATAGGAGGAAGTGGCTGAATTCTGAGACATCACCAGCTCTGACCCTAAACTGCAGAGCCCCATGCAAAGTCTTTACGCCTTCAAAAATGTCTCCTTCCAGAGTAAATTTCCAATGAGATGTTAGGATCCAAACATTCTGTACCTTTGTATATATTACACAATCATTCAGAACTGTCCAAAATTTTGCTATATCAGAGGAGTCTCCAAACTGAATAATAACTTCAGCTTTCAACAAAATGTGGTTCATTAATTTATTAAATATAACATTAAATTCATCAGCAATTCTTTCATTGAAGGCGAGGCAAATCTCCTTCTCCTTCAGCATTGGCATCAGAGTTGAGACGAAATATTCCCCAGTGTCATCTTCAGAGGTCACCAGCCCAACCCAGTTCCACTGGAAATACAGGAGCAGCTGGACTAAACCCACACACTCAGGAAAGTCACTGGGATTAATCCGGAAGAAGGAAGGATAAACTGGTCTGTATTCCTGAGGAATCTCAAAGCCAACACCAAGCTGGAGAAAGGGAGATTCCTCTTTCATATACAAAGTAAAGTTTCATGTGGCATTTAGTGGGTAACATCACATGCAGTTTTTTACCTCCCAGTCTGGCAGACTCACATTGATTACAGTAAGCTTATTCTTCTCTTCCTAGGGAAGAGCTGCTAGTAAGATGCGGCTAAACTTTTACAAAAGTTAGAAATTAATTCTTCTCAGCAAATACAGCATTTCAGAATTATTTCATTATTTGTTTCCTTGTGATTTATATAAAAACATATTAAAAGATAAGATAAAAAATGAATTGAACTATACAATATCCCCTTGAACAACTTCATTTTCATGCTTGACTTCTGAGTTTGTTTCTGTTATCCGTCTACTCTTTACTGTAACCAATGGAGCCCCCTTACCTGTGGAACCTTGTAGATGTTGAAGATGGAGGCCATCTGCCTTGAGGATTTGGGGTTATCACCTCCAATGACAGAGAGCAGAGGGTCCTGCCTGTCACATTTATAACCTGGAATTGTTTGACCTCTTGTGGAGAGAAAGGAGAGGCTGATTAAGAAAATCCACATCTCAATCTGAAAATTGTCACAAATCTGGAAGCCAAGTGTGATGTTGGGGAGGAGAACCAAATCTTTGTTGATCTCTGTGATAGCAAATACTAAGGCAAAGAACTGCTGATACTTCGTGAGTATAGGTCTGTAGTAAAGAAAACATAGGGAACATTACAGAGAAATATGTGTATGTGTATGGTTGAAATTTGCCTAGATATATTTTTGATTATATTTTTGGAATAGCAAGTCCCAGATTCCATTAAGCTTTTTTCATAGATGCTCTTTCATTAAAATTGTACGCCTTAGTGACAAAGGAGAAAGGTAATTGGTTAATTGTTCCCACCATTAGGAAATTTCTCCTTAGTTCTAAGTTGCTTCTCTCCTTGTTATTTTCCAACCATTGTTTCTCATCTTACCGCTTTGGAAAATAATTCAATCCCCTTGTCTTTTTAGGAGCCCCTCAAATATTAGAACAATGCTATCATATCCCCCTTATTCCCTGTTTTCATTAGACTAGACATTTCCTGTAACTGTCATGTCTACATTTTAGCTTACAGGCCCCTTATTTTCTTTGTGGCTCTTGTCAGCACTCTTTCCAGAGTCTCCAAATCTTTTTTTGTATTGCGATGACCAGAACTAGTCACCACAATACAAAACTGGACATATTACACCACCAGACAATGACAAATTATTAAAATTTCTACTATGTTTTCTGTCCAAATTAACATTATGTTAAGTTTCTTAGGCCAACAGAGTTCCATATTTTTTGTTTCTTCCTCACTTTTTATGTCATCTATCATCTTCTTGGTATAGAGTTATAAAATGACTGAGAATTCTAGCCTATTTTATGATCAAAGACAAGAACTGCACTAGGACATTCGAATAGTAGGAGAAGAGTTTTTGAAAGGAATCCCTGAATCCTGAACACAGTAAAAAATTAATGCATCTTTCCCTGCCAGGTGAAACTTACAAAAGATAACTACTAAGATGGAGCGGATCCTCCTGAAAATCAAGGACACTGGAAGACATAAGTGTTCCCAAGGGTAAATTCCCACCAATAATGAATTCACCAGGTCTGTAATAGTTCTGTCTTGCATTAGGCTCCAACAATTTCCTCAACACACATACAGTTTGCCTCCTCTTAGCAGTAGTTGGAGGAAAGAGGCAGAAGAGCAGAAGCAGGAGAGGCAGCCCAGTCATTCTTGTCCTTCCTATATCAGAAATCAAGATTTGTGCAGAAGTGTAATTGCAGGCACGAGCAAAGAGAAAAATGAGAATAGACGAGTCTCAACGAAGCCAAGAATGATTCATTTCAAGACAAGCCAAGGGAATTTGACAGATCCTGCCCCAATGGAGGAACTTGGAACATATTTTCAAAGCAGGAATAATTTGGGGGACAGAAATCCAGAGGGATACATTTAGAATTTATCTTCTGATAATTGCAAAGGAAATGAATTCTCCTATCCACTTAGCAATAGGTGTGTTTTTTCTCACCAAGATGAGAAAAACAAGTTTGTGTCTCTTGTTGTTAATCCCTAGTGGCGATAGACTTGAGAGTAAAGGAGAAGTTGGGTATTTGACCTAAATGAAACTGAACCCCAGGAAACAAGAGGGAGTTTGGCCTGAGTCACAGTTTTGGGGATAGAATTGAGTGCTAGTGGGGCATAGTGGCTCAGGACAATCAGTTGAATTCTAGTAAGTTTGAACAATCATTCCAAATTTTATACCAAATAACTGGTTTATTTATACTTGTTACGGGTGAGATTAGAAATTAATTTCTCCCATAGAACTTAAAAATAGGTAGGAAAATTTGGGGAAAACTCATCAACTCCCTCTAAGCATGACTTTCTTGGGCTTTCTAAAGCCACATTTGCTTTTTCATCAAAGTTTATTCCTCACCAAATATTATCCTCAATGTGTCTACCTATGTTTCCACATCTCCTAATTCTTCCAGTCATTTTTCAATCTTTATCCCTCTGTCATGACACACAAATTCCTCCACCTTGTCATTCCCCTACTGGAGACTGACTCTGAGAGAGAGGAGGAACAGCTGAGACGGAGTGGAAGTGTGACTCCGGAGGTTGTGGAGGAGGCTGGGGAAGGGCTGAGGCCAGCTGAGCAGTCAGAGGAAGACCCAGGCACATCCCCTATCCATCCTAGGACATGCAACAAGGAGAGGATAAGGGAGAGACATGGTCTCCTTGGACAGAGAGGGCCTTGATCCTCTTCGTGGGCTGCAGGTGTGACAACTGAATAAGAGTTTGGACCTGTGTACTGGCAAACGCTGGAAACAAAACATGTAAATATATCTAGTTTATAGTTCCTCTCTGAGTTTGACATCCTTCCCAGTGTGTGTTATCTGTAAATATCCTCCAGAACAAGTCATGATTTATTCTATTTGTTCTCAAACATTCACCCTCCCTTTTTTCTACCCATCCCTCTGTCTATCCATCTTCATAATATTGGGAATGGATAAAAAAATATTAACAATACCGATGATTAGAAAATATCCATTGATATCTGTTGTAGAGCGGCGGAAGGAACGAGGCTAACCCAGAGTGAAACGTAACAGGCTTTATTGCAAGGAATAAAGGGTTGCCGCGTCTGCCTTCTCGCTAGGCAGGCTAACTGGCGGCAACGGGGCTGGCACTGCTCGACAGCCGGCTTTTATAGCCGACTGTCAAACGGTGCCAGCCAATGGAAGCGACTGGTGCTCCCGCTCAAACAGCGGACCTGGTTGGGGACTCCAACCAGTCCCAAAGACATAACACTCCTTTCCCCCAGCTGGGAGCATGCGTAGTCCTTCAGGTAAGTTGGTTGTCTGCGCTGGCGGCCAGAACGTCGCAACCCGGGCAAGCTGCTGGCTGGCGTCAAGTCCTTGCCCCCAGGAATCGTCTCGGAGGTTGTTGGGAAGTGGGCTCGGTCAGGTGTGGTGCTCTGTGGATCAGGTAAGTCCCCATGTTCGGACTGACCTCGGTGAGTCACTGGGTCCGGCCGGCAGACAGGTTCGCTTGGCAGTTGGTTCAGCGTCCCTTGTTGGTGGCTTGGGCCCTCCAGCAAGCTCTCCTGGTCGATGGGGTAGATCGGGTCCTGCAGGGAGCTTCCGTCTGGGTAAGCTGGTACCGGCAGGGAGTCCTCGGTGCAAGGAGGTTGGGCTGGGTTGGTATCAGTTGTGCTTCTCTATCGCCTTCTGAGCTGGTCCACGTGTCTACGCCACAGGCATCCATCTTCCAGGAGGACCCTGTAGGATCTAGGACCTGTGACTGACACAACTTTACCTGGAAGCCACAGAGGATCCCCTGCATAATTCCTGGCGTACACCAGGTCATGTAAGGCAAAGTCCCTGACCAAACTGTCAGATCCTAAAGGGGTGTCTGGACAGTAGTGAGGATGCAACCTGTCCAGGGTGGTCCTAAGGCGTCTCCCCATCAAGAGCTCGGCAGGGGATTTGTTTGTAGTGGTGCATGGCGTCGTATGTTGGCTCAGGAGGTAACGTGACAGTTTGGAATGCCAGTTTTCCTGGCCAAACCTGGCAAGTGCCTCTTTTGCTGACCTGACTGCCCTCTCAGCCATCCCGTTGCTAGCGGGGTGAAAGGGGGCTGTAAGGATGTGTCTGATGCCCAAGTTGGCAACGTACATGCTAAACTCACACGACGTGAACTGGGGGCCATTGTCAGACACCAGCGTGTTAGGGAGCCCATGGGTAATGAAAAAGCGGGTCAGAGCCTTAACAATTGCTTGAGTGGTTGTCGAGGGTAGTAGGGCCAAGTCTATCCATTTGGAATAAGAGTCTACTACAACCAAGAAGGTCCTACTGTGTACTGGTCCAGCCAGGTCGATGTGCAGGCAAGACCAAGGACCACTAGCACTCTCCCACTTGGTAGGCGTAGCTGCTGGTGGGGCAGGCCTGGTTTCTTGGCAAGGTTGGCATGAGCTTACCCAGTTGGAGATTTGGGCATCCATGCCGGGCCACCAAACATAGCTGCGGGCTAGAGCCTTCATCCTTACGATGCCCGGGTGGCCCTCGTGAAGTACCTTCAGGATGGGTACACGAAGAGTGGCTGGGATGACTACCCTTGTCCCCCACAACAGACATCCTTGTAGTTTCGACAATTCCTGCTTACGGGTTTTGAAAGGAGCAAAGTCAGCGGTGTATTGTGTTTCCGGCCACCCCCTTCCCACCCAGTCCATAACTTGGGCGATTATTCTGTCTTTTTTTGAGTGCGCAGCAATGTCCTCGGCTGTAACCGGCAATTTAAGTTCATTAACTTCAAAAATGGCATGAACAGGTGCTGGGTCTTCGACTGGGACTGGTAGGGGGCAGCGACTAAGGGCATCGGCATGACTCAAGTTTTTTCCAGGGCGATGCACCAACTTGAATGAATAAGCGGCCAGGAACAAAGTCCACCTGGTCATTCTAGGTGATAGCACCTGCGGGGTTTGCTTATCCCCTGATAACAGCCCCAGGAGTGGTTTATGGTCAGTTATAAGTTCAAAATGGTGCCCAAACAAAAATTCATGAAACTTTTTTACTGCAGCTACTGCAGCCAAGGCCTCCTTATCTATTTGGCTATAGTTCCTTTCTGCAGTAGAGAAGGCCCTAGAGAAGAAAGCGATTGGTGCCTCGGAACCATTGGGAAGCCTGTGACTCAGAACAGCCCCAATCCCAAAGGGGGATGCATCAGCAGCTAGGACCAGGGGAAGTCATTGATCAAATTGGATTAAGACTGCATCAGATGTGAGTAAGGATTTGACTGACTTGAAGGCATGGGCTTCTTTGGGTCCCCAATACCAGGGGGATTCTTTGTCTAACAGTCTGTGTAAGGGTTCAGCAATAGATGCTTTGTGCGGGAGAAATGAGGTGTAAAAGTTTAGTAGCCCCAGAAAGGCTTGGAGCTCCGTCTTGTTAGTTGGTGTAGGCGCCTCATGGATAGCCTTTACTTTGGATTCGACTGGGTGAATGCCAGAGGCATCTATCCTATATCCCAGAAAGTCCACCTGCCTAGTGGCGATGGCACACTTCTCCCTTTTAAGTTTGAGGCCATGCTGCCTGAACTTCTCTAGGACTGCACTGACCCTTTGTATGAGCTGAGGTCTGTCAACTGCTGAGACTAAGATGTCATCGAAATAAGGGACGACCCCCGGGAGACCTTGGAGAATCCTTTCCATGAGTGATTGGAATATGCCCGGGGCTACACTTACACCGAATTGGAGGCGTTTGCACTTGAATGCCCCTCTATGTGTGACTATGGTTTGTAATTCAGCTGTCTGATCATCAACAGGGAACTGTTGGTATGCCTGGGACATGTCTAGTTTGGCAAAAATGGTGCCTGGTTCGAAGGTGTGTAACAGGTGTTGAATAACAGGAACAGGGTAGGCACTGACCTGCAGATAACGGTTGAGGGTGGTTTTATAGCCTGCACAGATTCTTAAACTGCCATCTTTCTTGAGTGGGATGACTATGGGGGTCTCCCATTTGGCAAAGTCAGTTGGTTCTAACACCCCTTGCTTCAGTAGCTTATCTAATTCTAAGTCTAACTTGGGACGGATGGCGAAGGGCACTCTATGTGGCTTAAGGCGAAGAGGAGTTGCCTGGGGGTCCACCGAGAAGGAGATGGGGGTGCCTGAATAACAGCCCAGCTCGCTGCTAAAAACATCAGAGTAATCTGAGAATAAGGCGTCTACGTCAGAAGTTGAGACAGCATGGATCCCAGTTACACTAAGGCCGAGGGAGGGGAACCAATCTAGTCCCAACAGACTGGGGAGGGCACCATTAACAACCACCAAAGGCAAATGGCCTTTAAAGGCTTGGAAATGAACTAAAAACTTGCCTTTCCCGAGGACAGGGATGTTCTTGCCCTGGTAGTCCCGCAGTGTCAGGTGGCATCTCTGCAGCTTCTTCTTCAAAAATCTGGGATGAATCTTCTTTAGGGTTTCCCAGGAGATGATTGAAAGTGCAGATCCCGTGTCTACCTCCATCCTGCAGGGCTTACCTTCTAAAGAAACAGAAATACTGATTTTATTAGGAGTTTGGGAAGTTTGGTTAGCGTGGTAGCAAGTATAGCAGTCCTCCACTTGCCTTTGGAGATTAGTAGGTGGTGGAGATCTTTGAGGAAAGGTTCGCCCTGCTTGGCAGATTCTAGCGAGGTGACCTTTCTTTTGACAATTCAGACAGATGGCGTTCTTAAATCTGCAGGATG